GAGTTTTTATGTCAGTAAGGTAGCCAAATTTTTTTTAATAAAATTAACTTTGGGAGATAAAATATAATTTATAAACATTTAATTCTTTGATTTGATTCATTTTTAGTCCAGGAATTTTAGCACCAAAAATCGGTCCGCTCTGCATAAAATCCTTCTACGTGATTTTTTGATTGGATTATATCAGAGGGTGCCCCCTAAGTATAAAACCGAGTTTCTGTCGCCCGAAACCGCGAGCGTTAGCCGCCATATTGGAAACCGTTTTTTTGCATATATCTCGGAAACCGTAAGTTTTACGTTAAAAACCGAAGAGATCTTTTTTGTAGAGAACAAAATTTCCCATCTTTTTTATACCAAACTTTTCCCCCTATTGTTGATATTTTCCGATATATTGAAGTAAAAAAACCAATTTTTTTGTTTTTGTAAAGTATCTCAATAATTTTCAGAGTAACGAAAAAAATGTTTGAATTAAAGTTGGAGAGCATGAAATTTTCTACAACTTTTGTATAAAACTTTTTCTTGTAAAATGATTAGTCGCTGAGTTCCAGCTGAATAAAAATTGTCACCTAGAATCGAAAATCAGCGATGAGCGGTAATACGTTACTCTGGCATGCAAACAAAAAAGTATAATCGAAAAATTTTATCATGAAGACGGTAACGATTTTATTTATCGTGAAAAGGAGGGAAATGAAAGATTAAAAAGGAAATTTTGCACAATAAAAATATTTTAACGAATTATTGGAAAAAGGAATGAAAATTTATTCATGTATCCAAATTCATTATCATTTGGGCGATATAAGTCGCTGTTTACAAATCAGGATCGCAGAATATTAATTTAATAAATTGTATTTGATAAATTTTATTCGTCGATGTTAGATTTATAAAATTTTTCGCTGTTTACAACCGGAAGGGCGATTTTGGAAGGTTTGCGAATTTTCTTCTTCCAAGTCCATGTTACCTGCATCAGAAGAATGTATGAGAGATTCATTCGGTGTATCCTCCTCGTCGCTGTCGTCCGAACATTTTTTTCGTATCTCCAAAAATTATTGACTTTACAAAAACAAAAAATTTGGTTTTTTTACTTCAATATATCGGAAAATATCAACAATAGGGGGAAAAGATTGGTATAAAAAAGATGGGAAATTTTGTTCTCTACAAAAAAGATCTCTTCGGTTTTTAACGTAAAACTTACCGTTTCCGAGATATATGCAAAAAAACGGTTTCCAAGATGGCGGCTAACGCTCGCAGTTTCGGGCGACAGAAACTCGGTTTTATACTTGGGGGGCACCCTCCGACATAATCCAATCGAAAAATAACGTAGAAGGATTTTATGCAGAGCGGACATCTAAAAATCTTGGACTATTTGACAATAAATTACAACCATGTATCGGTAACAAATTCACAAAAATATTGATTTACTTTATTAGTAACACTGGCTGTCTTTTGTTCCTTTGCCTAAAAAGAGCCTATTTTATTTGTAAATATTGTCTTAGTAGTAACGATTTTTTTAATTTGACACCGCCAGAAGTCGAAAAGGGCTACGCTAAGCCTCTTGCCCCAAAAATTCAAGGATAGATACTTACAGTCAATCGTATCATAATTTCATCTTATGGAAAACAAAGGTGCAAATTAATTTTCAGAAAGTACGTACGTAGGTCGTATAATTCCTCGTTAATGTGTTATAAAACGTCGTATGACATACGTGCGGTTTGATAATTACAGATTCCTCACCTACGGCTCTGGCTAACAATATCGCCTCGGCTGTAATTCTCAACTTACCGCACTTATATCATAATGTAATATTAAACCAGAAAATAGCTTACACTAAGTCACGATCTCGCCCGCAAGAGCAGGAGCTCGCTGGCATGGGTGGTCAGCGCGTTCGGCTGCGATCGTTGAAGTTAAGCAACTTTCGCAGTGGTCGGTCATTGGATGGGTGACCAAAAATTTTCTATCACGAGTTCCTCCGTGTTTCGGAAGGCACGTTAAGCCATTGGTCCCGGCTGCATCTCACCCGCCAATGCGCACTGGGCCCGCGTGGAGGGTCATGGCCCAATCTCCCTATTCCATCCATAGGGAAGGCCTGTGCCCCAGCAGTGGGGACATTAATAGGCTGATGATGTTCTCGCTAGCAGTGGAACAACTGCCTTGCCAAAATCACTGCAAATGCAGCGTATTGCACCTCGATATTTTAGGCAGAGCTTAACATCCAATCAATAAAGACTTAAATAAAAACACTAATTCTTCAAGTGTTTAAAGTTACAAAGAACATTTCTGCAGAGCAAAGCAGTAAACGTGAGTTCCCTCAGGTGATTCCGACCGTTCAAGAGTGCATTTACTCTGACAAATTTAGAATGCTGGCCGCGGTCCAAACGTTCAGCGGATTCAATCGGCTTTCTTTGCAACCGCGTACGTAGGTTGCGAACACACCGGGAGGGAAATTACGATGACTTTTATATGTAGCGGCGAATTTCTTGAGTAAGAGTACGGCCAGAGTGCACTCAGATTCAGATACAGATTCAGATTCCGAAAACAAGCGCGAGAAATAAACAGTGTAGTCTAAGCAGGTTGCCTGCTTTTTCTCGCGCTTGTTTTCTGAGTCTGAATCTGAATCTGAATCAGGAGTGCACTCTGGCCGTACCCTTCGACTACACTGTTTATTTCTCACGCTTGTTTTCGAAATCTGAATCTGAATCTGAGTGCACTCTGGCCGTACCCTAAGACTGAAACGGAAAAGGCGTCTTTCAAGGCAAAACTGTATATTTACAAGATAAAATAATAAAACATGCACTTTCATTCTATCTCTTGTCATTGTCTTTTTTTGGCTTTAAACGTCATGGTAAGTCAGCGTCAGTTCCTTCGGTCAGTTACTCGGCCAGCTACTAAAAAGTCCATTACAAAGACCAAAGGCAAACAAACTTAGTTGATGACCTTTCCCTGTAGCATGAGCGCTACAATTTAGTTATAATTTTAACTTCTAAGCATGTAGGCGGATGGCTTCTCCCCACGAGGGGAGTCTCTCCGTCTGGAGTCTGTAGACCACTCGAACCTGAGGGGGTCGGCTCAACTAGAGGGCTTTTTCTTTGAGTGTATATGCTGTTGGTCGCAGATGACCATTACAGCATCACCGGGTTTAGGGACGGCGAGATCCTGAGGGGACATCAAGCCGAAAATTGGCGAGTGCCTCTAGAGGTATTCCAGGCGGATGGCATCTCCCCACGGTGGGAGTCTCCTCTCCGTCTGGAGCCTCTAGACCACTCTAACCTGAGGGGGTCGGCTCAACTAGAGATCGTCTCTGAGACTCGGACCTTAAATAAATGGCGGATAAATTATAGCGTTGCTCCCGGTGTGCCCTCTACGGCGGGCATGCCAATGAGCAATGTTAAAAAACAACGTCGCAATGGGAGGAAAGAGTCGCCACGCAGAAATGGTGTTTATCACTGTGCAAATAGAGGCTTGTTTGTTGAATTGTGCGATTTCTTTGTTTCGATATTTCGCAATAAATATATGACGCGTTACTGAAATTACTAACTAATTACCTGTTCAGTTGTGAACACTTGTACACCTACAGATTTCTCTCACCTTTCTTTGTTTATTTTTTTTTCAAGCGTGTGATTAACAAAGAAAATCGATGTCGTGATGGCAAGCGGCCACGATAGCCTACAGACACTGGTCAATGATTCATATTTATTTATTCATAGTTATGTGCCATTCCCTGTAAGTAATTACTCTTAAGCTTCCAATGTTTATAATTTTCAATATTCCTGTGTTTTTAAAATATTGGTTCCCAAGAAATAACAATGAGTAAGTTACCGATCATGGAAATTTCAAGAACTTTTGCAATACCTAGTCTAGTCTTAATGATACTGCCACATTGGTGTCGATTCTGGCATGATTCTCTAAACCTAAACGTAAATTTGACAACAGTGTATCCTTGTCATTCTCCATACAGAATGAAAAGGAGAGACTGATGTTAAATTTAGTTTTAAGTTTAGAGAATCGTGTCAGAATCGACACCATTATCGCGCTAATATTACTGTCTCGTTATACCTAAAATTTTCTGCTTCGATCAACAACAAGGCGCACTGGCCACATTAGAATAAAACATCGTTACATCGCGATAATACAAAACATCGCGATAATTTAGACGGAAAAGTTTTATTTCCACCATACGAGATGGTTATTTTTATAGTTTTTAGTTTAGTAAACAGTTCTTTACTGCTTTGCACACATCTAAAAAATGTCTTAACGGGTGTGGTAGGGGAAAAATATGGACGATGCAAATGAATAAATAAATAAATAAATATTTCCAACACTCACACCAATTAGCCTAGCCCCAAAGTAAGCATTGTAAGGCTTGTGTTATGGGATGCTAGGGAAACGAATAGAATACATATATTGTACATATATAAGTATATTTATATAGAAATACATATTGAACATCCATGACTGGAGTACAAATGCTCGTATTCATCACACAAACATCTGCCCCCACCGGGATTCGAACCCGGGACCTCTCGAGTCGGTGAATGAGTTGTATTATGCTCACCATTCGATTAAAGACATTTTGAATTTGAATTTGAACTTGTCTAGCTATTCAAAGGGGGAACGCTGCCAGTATTTCGGAAAATTGGCTAAAGGGACTACTTTTATTAATATATTTAGTTATAATATTATATTTTTTAAGGTTTTTATTTTAAGGTTCAATGTTCTAGTCATAGATAAATGATTCGCTTCACAGCGAGACCAATCATTCATCTATGGTTCTAGTATATATTTATTAGTATTTCATAAATTAAGACAGATAATTGGTGTCGATTCCGGCGTGATTCTCTATACTTAAAAATAAATTTAACATCAGTCTCATCTTTTCATTCTGTATAGAGAAGGACAAGGATGCACTGTTGTCAAATTAAAGTTTAGCTTTAGAGAATCATGCCAGAATCGACATCAGTGTAAACACGAAAAGTTTAATAAATTATGTTTATTTAAATTTAACTTACGTTCAATCTCTTGGTCTTTAGCCTCGATCTCCTTCCTGTACTGGGAGATGATCAGGCGCGCTGTCTCCGCCTCGCCGCACCGGGAGTCCGCGAGATCCGTGAGAGCTGACACTTGCGATTGGAACTTGCTCTCCTGGCTCACCAGGCTCTTCCTGGAACAGAGGTAGAGGAAGATTAGAAAATAGAAAAAAAAATGTGTTCACGGGCCACACATCTGAAGTGAAACTTATTTTCTTATATAACCTAACATTAGGCGGCTGAAGGCATAGGAGAAAGGAGCAGCGCACATCACACATGTATATATATATACACATACATATGATCATTCATATGTCATTGATATAAGTTATATATATATATATTGGTAAAATGTGTTAAAAAAGTTTTTTTTTAATTTAATTTTTTAATCTAATATATAAAATTCTAGTGTCGCGGTGTTTATGGTTAAACTCCTCCAAAACGGCTTTCCCGATTCTCATGAAATTTTGTGTGCATATTGGGTAGGTCTGAGAATCGGACAACATCTATTTTTCATCCCCCTAAATGTTAAGGGTAATCCACCCCTAATTTTTTTTTTAATTTTAGATTTTTTTTTTAAATTATTGTATGATATATCATACAAACATACATACATCCCTAAATTTTCAACTTTCTACCACCAACTCCTATTTTTTTATGGCGGCACGAAGTTCGCTGGGTCAGCTAGTATACATATATAATCATTCATGTGTTATTGATATTATCATTATCATCAGCCTATTAATGTCCCCACTGCTGAGGCACAGACCTTCCCTATGGATGGAATATGGAGATTGAGCCATGACTCACCACGCGGGCCCAGTGCGGATTGGCGGGTGCTAACGACTGCAGATGCATCCGGGACCAACGGCTTAACGTGCCTTCCGAAGCACGGAGGAGCTCTAGATAGTAATTTTTGGTCACCCATCCAATGACCAACCACTGCGAAAGTTGCTTAAGTTCAACGATCGCAGCCGTTCGCGAGAACCACCCGCGCCATCGAGCTCCTCTTTGATTGATATTATAAATATATATATATTATATGTTTTGGAAAACTGGATTTTGAAAAAAAAAAAAAATTTTTTAATAATTTTTAATAAGTAGATTCATTTTCAATTCCCTTACAAGTCGTGTAGAGCACAAGATCTGTGAATTTTTTGTTTGTTTTAGTTCCAGAAGTTTGGTTGTAGAAAAAAGAGTATATTTTGTGTTCCGTCGGCGTCGCTTGCGTACATCACGCGATGGTATAAAAGTCCACGTTTAAAACTCGTAAAATATGAGATTAACGACTAATAATTTATTTTATGTGATATTTTAAGGCTATAATATATCTTATCTTAATATATATAAATCTCGTGTCACAATGTTTGTCCTCAATGGACTCCTAAACCACTGAACCGATTATAATAAAATTCGCACACCACGTGCAGTTCGATCCAACTTGAGAGATAGGATAGTTTAAATCTCAAATTATAGTCGCAATTTTAATTTATTGCAAATTATTACTTTTGGGCGGTACGAAGTTCGCCGAGTCAGCTAGTATATCTATAAAATTCTCGTGTCACAATGTTAGTTACCATACTCCTCCGAAACGGCTTGACCGATATTTATGTAATTTTATATGCATATTCAGTAGGTCTGAGGATCGGCTACTACGGTTCATACCCCAAAGTCATAAGGGTTGTCCACCCCTAACATTCATTTTTATTTTTTGTAATTATTTTTTTATAATGTGTCATTAAAACTTACATACAACCCTAAATTTTCAACCTTTTACCACCAGATCCTATTTTTGTGGCGGTACAAAATTCCCTGGGTCAGCTAGTATTATAACACTCTTCCGCAGTGATAGTGAGAATCCTTTTCTAATAGTCAAACTTAAAAAATAGACATATACTGTCGCGGAACGTTTTTTAGAACTTTTGAATCAGTACCTTTCGAATTCATATCGTTTGCGTCCGAAATGTCATTGTCAAATGTGTACTGATTTTTAGTTCTCGTTACGTACTTTGTGCCGCTGCTGTTCAAGTTTCCATACAAAATTTGACATTGACATTTTGGTTTGCAAACTATTCGAATTCGATAATGGTTCGTGCTAGGGGTACAGAACGTTTCAGTCATACCTGATTTTTGTGTAACTTTAACCGTTTACCCAGCGCACGCAACGGAAGCTCACAAATGGAATATTTTTACCCGTTTTTGCAACATTTTTCATCGATGATCCACTCCTACAGAGTCTACTCTTTTTCTCCGAAACGAACTTTCGATAAAGAAAGTTCAAACTAAATTTAAATTCGTTAATTTAAGGTTACTAGCAAACCAGTGAACCAAATATTCACCAAAACCTGATTAAAAAAAAAGTATTAAAAAAATTTTTCGACGTAAATATAGTGAATGTTATAATATGTAGGCGTATAAGAGTGAATTATTTGTACTTCATTCATTCAGGGGTACCTGAGGAAGTACCCGCTGCAGAGACGGGAAAAGTCTAGATGGCTGTAGTGATTTGATCTTGATGAAATTATGTAGGTACTAAGCACATTTTTAAAGTCTAGTTAGGATGCGATCAGGGGAACGCGGAGGCATTTGGGGGCCCCCAAAATCGGAGGCCCGGGGCGGGGCACCCCTTCCGCCCCCCTGTTAGTCCGCCACTGGCCATCGAGCTCCTCTAAAATAATAATTTACATAAAAGAAATGCTAAAATAAAAACTGACTAGCAAACCAGTGAACCAAATGTTCACCAAAACATGATTTAAAAAAAAAAATGTATTTAATTAATTAAGAACTTCGGAGATTTTGTGTGGTTTCGTTTGAAATTCGTGATTTCTCGAAAACCGGAAGTGTTACGTTACTCAAATCCGGTTTGGAGTCTAATCTAAGACTATCCTTAACTTATAACTTAAATATTCTCTTTATCTATCTCTTACGGTTTGGCCGCTGAAACAGCACCACAGATGGACGGACGGACTTGTCTAATAGATAAGAGATACTAAAGGACAATGTTAAAATTGGCCTAAGAACCAACACCAATTTGGCATTTATGATAATTCTTAGTATATTTTTTGCGATAATTATCAGTATTTAGATTGTGACGGACACTTCCAGTTAAGTAAGCTAAATTAAAAAGTTAAAAAATAATCTGAGACAATAAATACCATTTTATGTGTATAATCTGTGGCATCGCTGCAAACAAAACACTCTTTCTTCCTAACGCCGGCACTTCACTTGGCTATTCGTATTTGCTATTTTAAAACATGACATCAGTCTGTCCTTTTCATTCCTTATTAAGCATGACAAGGACAAACTGTTGTCAAGTGAAGGGCCGGCATAAAAATCGTTACTCTGTGGTTGTGGTGCATGCAGTTTGCATTTGTAGTAATCTGTGGCATTCGTGCATTCCAAAAAGTAGTTTAATATACCGAAAAGTGCATTCTCGTTTCCGATTACCTGTTGTGTGTGTTTATTTGCGATTGTTTTTCCTTTAATTTAACTATTTCGGCTATCTAATATACCATCGATGTTACCAAAGAGAAGAGCCCTTACCGAACAGATTACCAAGTGCTAGTGAACCTGTGCCATAACATCCTGAGAGGATCATACTGCCAAATTATTCAAGAACACCTGATACACATTCACGCTGCATATTTACACAATAAACATGTGATATACAAATAAATACAATAAACAATATGATACAATTATGTGAAAAATAGTCATTAAATAAGAAGCAAAACTACAGTTTTTATTTTATTCATGATTCCTACCTAACCAAGTTTTTCCTAATAGTTTTTCTTTAAAATCGCACCGAATAAAATGAATTAGTTGTAATATTAATTCACTTCATACTGAGTTTATACTAAATTCATAGGTTGAACTATGTTTCATTGAATATTAAACATAACCTCAAAAAAAAATTAGTCTTCCTAATAATTTAAGTTCTCAGAAGTGTCCGTCAATAATCTTTGTTTTTACAGTCATTTACTTACGATTTTGAACCTAGAAAATAATATTTCATGATTGTTGGTTCTTAGGCTAACTATGTATGGACGCTGAACAATGTCCCTTAAACGATAAAAGTTATTTACGGGATTGGTACCATGTACCTTGTTTTTAGCGAGTTTAGTACGAAAGGTTTCACAATACCTACGGTCTCCTAAAGACAACTTCGCCTTGGAGAAACTTTCAAACTAAAAGTTGAATGTGACATATAATTGGGTGATTCCTGGGACCCATGATTTTAAGGGTCACATTGAAATATTAACTGGAGTAATAGACCAACTTAAATAAAGTACCACTCCAAACTTTACTTTACTATTTTAGTGTTGAGGCCCATTGATAAAAAATAATATTTAATTAAAGAAATTGGTTAAATATACATTTGAAACTGAAAAACGCGGCATTAGATTTTTACGTGTCACACGCGCGACTCTTGATAAGTTATAGTGATTTTTTTTTAACGCTCAAGGTTATACATGAATATATACATTTTTAAATACATAAAGAGTTATTCTATTAGATCATAAATAAACTGTTTCAAAATAATCAAAGTCTAGTATACCTTTATTCGTTTAAATATATGTGACGCGGCTGGCATAGTTTTAATCTCGCGGCGAAACTATGACAATTTATTTAGTGGAATACGCAGTAATCGTCTTGCGATTGGTCCAAAAGCAGTGTTGCCAACTCTACGTCTTTTTACGTAGATCCACGTATTTTAGGTCTTTCCTGCAAACCTACTAACTTTAGTCCCAGAATCTACGTCTTTTCTTGAATTTTTTCAAATTTGTAAAATAACTTAATTCACTAGAATAAAGAAGAATATTTTCCGTTACTTTTCTTAAAAACTATAAAAATGTTTATTTCTTATAAAGATGTATCTAAAAACTCTTGTATCTTGTAGAAAAGGTTCCCGTCATTGGTTTTATTGACTAAATTAATGCTGGACGCAGGATTTGTGAAAGGAGAAACGACAAAACTCTTTGACTTAGTAGGTACATTCGTAACCTTAAAAATTGAATTTTTAAACTTTAAATATTGCTCAATGAGTACTTACATCGAATTGATGTTTGCAAAAAGAAATGACTTTCAGTCGATAAAGTTACAGGAATTAGTATGTTTTTAACATGTGTTCATG